AGATACGGCTGTTTATTCCGAATAGGCGTTATTTGTCGTTTGGAGGACTTTGAGTCTAACTGACGATGACAGAAAGATGTGCTCGTAAACGCTTGCCAGGATTGGCAAAGTAAAGGTTTAAGGAAGACAGTAAATTGCTCAGTACCAACTTATTTTGTTCAAAATGGTCATAGTGTCAGGATAGAATAATCATTGAAGCTGGGCATTAACAGCGTTGAATGCCTGTTCAGTGGTCTAAAGGTTAAGCGTTCGAACGCGAAACAAGAGGTCCTGTGTTCGATTCCCATGTGCAAGTTTGTGGATATACACTGCTAATGAGTCCCTATATTAGAAAGAAACGGCCGTCTAGTGCTTCCAGGTTTTTAATAACATTAATCGACTCATCATTCCAATGAAAATCATTCGCAATAATTTATTATCGTTATTTTTATTCAAACAATAACAAAAATAGTTAAAGAAGTTGAAAGTTTACATTGATGAAGTGTGAAACAAGATAGTGAATAGGATCAAAATAATAAGGCTGGTTTAAAATAAACACATATATGAAAAAAATAGGGATTTGACTAAAATGAAAAAAAAAACGTGTAATCGTGATCAATTAAAGAATCAGTCAGTCAGTTGCAACGTAGAACTACGTACGTATATACATAAGTTCATGTTGCCATACCACATTAGCACAAAGACGCAGATGTCAAATCAAATCCCGTAGTGATAAAGATAGTAGAGGTATTGATGGTAATGGAGAAGACAAGGGTTCGAAGATATTATTCAAGAAGTATAATTCAGTGAAGTAAGGTTAAAAAGACAAAGGTAGAGGTGCTGACGAATCCAGAAGATTAGGATTTGAGAGAGCTCAAAGAATGGATGCACTTGCGCCATCGCAAACGATTTTGAGCCATGTCGTTCAAGGTCTCTAACCATTGGTGTCTTTCGTCTGGCGGACCCCAACCAGGTAGTCGACAACTACCAACATGACTCAGTCCACTAGTCAGTGACTTCATGGATTTCTGCCATGTTTTGGTCTGGCCGCCCCTAGCTTTCTTCCAACCTACTTCTACACCACTAAACATAGCTCGCATTGTTGCTTATGGTAGTCAGAAGACTCTTCATTTTGTCAGCGTCTTCACCGAATAGAACTACGTCATCGGCATATTCTAGACCAATTAGAGAATATAATAAACAGTTAAAAAACAAAATCACCGAACGAACTATGTTGACGTGTAGTGCCTCCACATATATTTGAATTCGCTTACATTTAATTTGGTCAAGCTTTTTGATTAATTTATTTAACCAAGCCATTTGTATAACAATAACTTATATGTACCATTGGTATTTTTTATTGCCTGGTTTGTATGAGCTTGTACGACTGAGCATTGCTTACGCCTACGCGCTTATGCATCCTTTCCGCTTTAATGTTCATCTCTTATATACCTCGATGACTCAGATATTTTCCTTTGTATATATACGAACATTTTAATCTTATTAATACATTCGCACATTCACTCGCTAGTGTGCCTGCCCGGTCTGTTTGAGGTCTGCTATCCCATTTTGTGGTGGGCCAAAATAAACGTATTCAACAAATCGACTTCACTTTCTAATTTATAAACCATCTGACGCTATTTGGTAACGATTGTCTGGACAAGCTAATTACGAAGCTTAAGAACACGTAGAAATCGGCCACCACAGACGAATGTACAAGTGAAAAAAAGGGTGGCTACTACTACTACTACTACTACTACCACCGCTTATTACTTGGTTTCGATAAGTTAAATCATTCGATAAAAAATCGAGAAATCAATGTTAGAAGAAATAGAGAATAATTATACAACTTACCAAATGCTTTGAATAATACAAGATAATGTGGTTCACAATATGGATTGCCTTCCCAAACACTGTATTTGCCTAAGCTATAAAAAAAGAAAGTTTTCAACAATAACTCCAACAACAAAAGAGAAACTAAGTTGCATTGAAATAGTTAATTGTGAATTTTAAAATTAATATAACCAATAGATAATCAATTATTAATGTGTAAAAATATTGGAAAAAAAAGAGTTAACCATATACGCAGTGCATGATCTCTAAAACGGCAAATTTTTTTTTAAAAAGAATAATGTATTGAACAATGTACACAGTAAACTTGTTAGTTAGTTAGTTAGAATGTTGGATGGTTTCAACATGTACGTGTATTTCGAAAAAAAAGTAATCAAAGAAAGAACATCAATCTTAACTGTTGGATCTTTGGATAAATGAAGATTCAGATAAAAGTACTCGGATTGTTATTGTATATATATATATATATATATATACATCAAGAGTACACCTCATTCTATTTAATACTGACAAATTCCTTAAAGAAAAATAGGCTAAAGAATAAAATGAGCAAAAAATAATACTTAAAATTCTCAATAAAATAAAATAAGATTTAACTATCAGTGAAAAACGTAGACTGACTAAGTCCGTTCGTTTCATCCCACGTTTATACGGCTTCTTTAAAGTATGAAAACAAAAAAAGAAATACCTCTGCATCTTATTTGAGGTATGAACAACAACTCATTATATTGTGCCACTGTAAAATGGTTAGTTGAAATTCTACAATGTGTCAGATCATAGGTGTCTGTCTTCGAAGCATTGCTCGTATATCGTGGGACACCCGAGTGAGCAACGCTGTTATTAGGAATCGGGTGCTAGGTAAGGATGGCAGATCAATAGATGAAGTGGTGAAACTTCATCATTTGAGGTGGTTGGGACATGTTCTGCGTATGCCCAACCACCGACTGCCTCGTCGAGCTTTGTTTTGTAGTGTAGGAGTAAGTTGGAAGAAAGTTAGGGGCGGCCAGACCAAAACATGGCATAAATCCATGAAGTCATTAACGAGTCAACTTAGCCATGTCGGTAACTGCCGACTACCTGGTCGGGGTCCGCGAGATGAAAATAATCGATGGTTAGAGACCTTGAATGACATGGCTCAAAATCGTTCGCAATGGCGCCAGTGCATTTATTCTTTGTGTTCTCTCAAATCCTAATCTTCTGGATTCTTCAACACCTCTAGTTTTGACTTTCTAAACTTTTCTCTCTGAATCATACTTCTTGAATCATATCTTCTAGTCCAAACCACTTCGATTACTTCTAATACCCTTACTAACTCTTCTACTATTGGATTTGAATTGACAATTACATCTCTGTGCTAATGTGGTATGGCGACATGAACTGATGTACTTACGTACGAAGTTCTACGTTGCAACTGACTGACTGACTGACAATGTGTCAGAAATCAACTCAGTAGATGATATATGAATACTACTAATTTGTTCGGATTGTGTCCAATATAACCGGAAAGATGTTTTCACTAGATATTGCATTTCTTTGTACAAACATACTCATAACAGAAAAAACATGTAATTACATTAAAAATGAAAAACTCAATCTCGATGTGTCACAATACTGTTGTTTCTAAAAATGCTACTTCTTCAATGTACTTTCAACATCCAATTTAAACTTAATAAATGAGTTCTATAGATAAACTGACGGCATAGTGATAGGGGCCCCCCGTTTTGGCACAACACTTCTAGATGATTGTTTCATGGACAATCTCGAAAACACTACACTTAGATCAGTAATTGGGCACTTCTATCTATTATAAGTGATATAAAGACTGAACTTACATTATTTGTCATAAAAATATCAATATCAATTACATCCTGGAAAAGTTAAATAGATGTCACCAATCACAATTAAGTTCACAACGGAATCAGTGTCTAATTCTGAATTCTATTTCTTAGATGTTTTGTTTAAAAGATCTGGCGCAGTTCTCTACAAATACCGATTTGTAGAAGAAAGCCGATGTGGAATAGTCAATACACAAACTTTCAAAGTTCCGTCTGCCGGAAACAAAAGAGAAACCTGATCCATTCTCCATGCACGAGGCCTAGACGAATATGCACCGAGGATACTGTAGACACTGAACTTAAAAAACGATGGCAGATACCGATTGACAACCACCTAGATTCATTGATTAAAATTTGAATCGCAAAACGACAACGTCAAAGAGAGTCGTTAACACTAAAGAAGAATATTGAGTTTAAGAGAGAATATGCAGCATTAATTTTAAAAAAAAACGGACTTTTGAGATCCAGGCTAAAAGCGTTCCACTTGACTGAGCTTCGCATTATCTTTCCTAGTTGACCTATGATTCGTAGTTGTGTAAAAGATACCCTGTCATTGTCAGGATCCAATCAATTTGCATCAGTCATTTTACTTGTTTATGTGGAGCAAGTTATACTAGTCTCACACAAAGAAAGTTCTTTCGAAACGTATCTCCAAATATCCCTCTGTCTGTCTTTCTTTAAAGATTAAAGAAGTCAGTGAAAAGCTCAATTTCGGAACACCACCTAGTCAAGTGAGTGGACCTTAAAGGAATGCAAATGAAGCTATTGCAATCCACCAGTTCAAACCTAACCGCATAAAGAATCAGTATGTTCAGTCGCTTATTTGCCTATAGTCTCAAACTGCCTTTCAAACCTACTCTAAAACAATGTTCAGAGATTTTACCAGTCAGTAGTTAACTAATTCGATTTGTAGAACTGTCAGAAATATATACAAATCGATTATGATAATTAGTTCTTATATATAATCATAAAAACATTTGATTTACAATAGAGTTTGAAAATTTATCGGTTAAAACAATTTTACATTGCTATATATACACAGATTCTGCTCATTTAGTGACTTGAAAGGTTTTTAAACACTAAATTTATTCTACATAACAAAAGAAACACTTGTCACTAGACGTGGACAATTCAATGTTCAAGGGTTTGATGATAATGATAAAATCATTAGTGAATTCAAATTTTTTTTATTCTAATTAAATTAATATACAATCAATAAACGTTTTAAAAAGTTAATGTTTTTTTTCAATCGATTTAATGATGCAATACATTTTTTAATGTTGATTTTCAACTATGTTTGTAGCCGCATGAACAGACTGACTAAACATTATTTAGTGTGTGTGTATAAAAATAATCAACCCTTTAACTTTGACAGTTAAGTACATGTGAAGACTGTGTGAAATACATTTGAAACTAATTACTACATATGAATCATTGATATTAATTTTTTTTAACAGTGCTGTTATTTGATACAAAGAGTTTTTATTGTGACTACACGAACTGTGTACAATATTTGTACGTAAGTCTAGCAAACCTGGATTTATGTTTAGATTGACTGAGAATATACGAATACGGCTTGGCATTGGGAGTCAAGAGACCAAGTCCCCTACTAAAAACCAGAGCTCTTCCACGATATGGGCAGCCGGAAAGTAGTAACATCCGCCCACATACACATAAAAGCACACGAGACTGGGTAAGCTTATCTATACTGTGTATTTATCTTATACGCTAAAATAGAGAAAGTTAGAGAGAGAGAGTCTTTTCTTTAACTCATCTCAACAAAACTAGAAAAATGATTCGAAGCTTTCATTAAATATCTTTGTGAATATGAATATTGTTCCATATATGTACAAGAAACAAAATCGATTAAGTCTAGCAATTGTTTTATGTACTCTAACTATTATGCAGTATAGACACACATATAGCCACTTACAAACAAACCTTAACTAATTATTATTATTATTATTATTATTATTATTATTATTATTATTATTATTATTAACAATGCAATCTTTTTCAGTTACAAATTGAGCCAGTTGTCATGATATATGCATTCACTGTTTGAATGATCATCTCTCTTGATAATTTACATACGTATATAATACAATCAACATGATGATTACTGTCAAATTTCTTTGACAATAGATCAGTGTAGTAACAGTAGCAGTAATCTTATCATTGTTTATTTGTTGAAGTAGCATAAATTTATGGAGAAATTTGAAAATCGTTACATGCAATCGAGGTAATTTTAGTTATTAGCTACACATGCCACATACCACATAGTTAGTTAGCGTAAGTAAAATTCTCCATTTTTTAGTGCATAACCTTCTGCTTCTGCTTCTTCGTAATCTGATTGTATTGAGAAGTGTCCACCTTGACCTCATGCACACACACACACATGCACACACGCACACACACACATACATGCATAACTGTGTACCACCTACCTACCTACCTACAAACATGCAGAATTTTTATTACTGCTGCAACTCAATAGTAGTAGTTAAATAGCTAATAATAAATTTTCAAATTCTATTTAAGAAAAAAGTCTGTGTAATTAATTGAATTTATAAAATGTATAACTATTAAAAGTACACATTTTCTATATCATTTAAATGACATTAAAATTAATTTAGTGAAATACAATTATTGTATCTAATATACAGATACAGAGAGATATATAGATCGATCTAATAAAGTTGAAAATGCATTCTGTAACATGTACACCTTTCAATAAATCAACTCATCTAACTAACTAACCAGTTGTTATCAGCATGTGTACATGAGAGAAAACTGATTTAGGAGAAAATAAGTACATTGATAAATTTTTAAAATATTTTCATAAAAACAAACAATTTATTGCAAACAAGTTGACCTTAATTACATTATTGTATCAGAGATAAATGAATAGTAGTGTAAAGTACATGAATGCCTATTTATTGAAATTAAAATCAATTCAGTCTCAAAACTTATTGACAAATAATGGTCAAATTGATAATAAATACATTAGTGTAAGGTTCGTCACTAGGTACGCTTGAAGTTATTACGAGTTCACAGTAGTCGAAAAACCCCGAACCAGACAATTACCAGCGTCCAGATAGGCTACCTTGAATCTCAAGCTGAAGAGAGAAGACTTTGTAAATGTAGAAAGCATATTCTACAAACACCCAGCAATCATACAATACAATCAAGCACACAACTCTCGTTTATTATTTATACATCATAGAAACGTCTTTGGGACAGTTACGAAAATAGCACACTGAAACACACAGCAGCCAATCACAGCTATGGATTTTCCTGGTGGGAAATGAAATCTCAAGGTCAATCGATCAGCCCATGCTGGCAAACGTGAAATCCAAAATAAGGCATTTAACAAGCGAGTTCTTGGGGATATAACATCCCCAACAATTAGCAACTGTCAAAATTTTCTCGTATCAATTGTCATATTCTAGACAAAAATTTTAGAATAGTGAATGAAGTATGGTAATGATGTTTAAAGCTTTACACATAGTTTCATTTTAAATGATATCATTTTGAACAAATGAGTGAGGATCGGACTAGCCGAAAATGAATCATTAATGCATGAAGTCATTGACTAATGGACTTGGCCATATCAATAGAATCTGGTTGAATATCGTAATCGATGCTTGGGAAGACTGGATAACATGGTTCAGAATCGATTAGAATGACTCGGATGCATTACTCTTCATCTTTCCTTAGATTCTGAGATCTGAAATTGTTTTATGCTGGTATTCCGTTAGTTCATTTTATCATGTTGAGTGATATTCTTGACATTTAATGTTATTTTTATTAAAACTGATACAACTCAGTCATATTCAATGTAGAGGTCTCACACACCTACCTTTGTGTTAATCCAAGTTACTACGCAACATTACCACAACGGGATGAAATGAATAAGACTCAAAACAAAAGAATTAAACTGAGGCAATAGTAAAAATAATAATTAGACATTAAGAATATGGTTCGAAATAAACGAATCAAAGGTATACATGAAGAAATACTAGAACTTAACACATTTAGAGGAAGAAAACGACACCGCTACTCCTATTTATTTGATAGTTGTTACATTTCTGTGTTAGCGTGGTGCAGAAAATTAGCCTGATAGCATGTTTGTATCATGCTGTATGCTGTTTATAACTGATTCAATGATGAATATTATATAATAATCTTCTAATCTAGTTTTTCTCAGTTAGGACTCACCAGTTGAATGTATTTACGTCTTTCAACACATTTATGTTCGAAATGATGCTATGAAAGATACCGATTTATTGGACTTGTAAATAGATATATCCATTCAAGGAAATAAATAGTAGAACTCTAGTAGTAGTAGTGTAGTGAAAGAGAACACAGGTGGGGTAACCGAATTGTATGTAACGGAAATTACAGAGTTACTCAGTAAAATCGGAACACCTTATCGTAAATCGTTCATTTGCAAAATAACAGTTCATCATATCGAACTGGACTGTTCCTGTTGCAAAACATCAATCCATTGTCACTACTATTCATGCGTTTCATACAAATTCCATTGTTTTCTAACTCTTCCTTTCTTGTTCTTCCCCCATCTTCTGCTGCCATACATTACGTTGACACTCACGTCATATACTACTTATAAGTAGCTCACACCACAGTAGTAGTAGTAGTAGTAGTAGTAATAATAATAATAATACACAACAGGAAATCGAAAAAAAACAATTCAATTAAAATTAATTTTAGATATTTATTTTATTTCGGTCACTGATAAGAGTTCTTGAGAAAGTGTTCTCAATGAAACAAGTAGATAATAATATGTAACAGATAATTAAAAGGGGGGAAAATCAAGTATCTGTAAGCGGGTCTAGTCATGACGATCATTACTCTGAAGTTTAAAAATACTATTTCATCAATTGGTTGGTTATTCGTAGCGCTTACACAATTGTTTAATAAAGGATTCTATTTAGGAAATAACGTAATTGAGGGAATAAATAATCTGAGGAAATTCCTTATTTTCAATTAGAGTTATGGAGATTAGTGTTTGTACATATTTGGAAACATCAATCAATCATTGTTAGATCACCATTAGGAACCTGGACGGCCGTTTCGTCCTGGTATGGGACACATCAGCAGTGCGCATCCACGAATCCTGAATCTCACAGGATTCGAATGCTGAACCTTCGGTATTGTGCGCGAATGTAACAAACGAATTTTGATGTAGTTATACAAGAAATTATTTCAGAATGTATATCAATGCTGCACTTCTGCTGAACGTATGATAGCATCCTTTTGGTAAATTGACAGTCCCATCAAACGACTAACTACGATCAATACTGAATCGTTATCATTATTATAGGAAATAAATTTGGTAGTAAAAATTGGTACATATTGAGAACAATGTATATATCAGCTAATCACTCATCATCCTAATAAACACAAATGTATCAAAATCATAAATACTTAAGTAATTGTACTCTTCAAATATGTATATATATATTTTTTAGTGTAAGATGAAGTTTTAAAAGAAAATGTACATGAATTCAGAGTCATTTTAGGTGTACACACAAATTTCAGTTGGGCAACAACTCAAAAGGCACTTATTTTTGTAGATATTTCATATTCTTTAGTAATGCACACAAAAACCTAGACGGAATTAAAAAAGGCGTGATTTACAAGTTTCATTCATAGGTGCACATTACTGACAAGACCTAAGGCAAGACGAAACACCTAATCACTTGTATCTTGGTTTTCAATAATTCTTCAATTGATGTCAAGTTCATTGTGAAAATGACCACAGGATATGAAAGATTCAGAATTTCCTTAAATTGTTTCCATTAATCGATTTGGGGTTACAAAATTCTACAACTACCAAATAACATCCCACTAATAAAAACAACAGAAAAATTCGTTCAATCTAATAAATACTAAATAATAATATATAGTTCTTATACTCTCAATAAGATGAAAAGAAAATTTTGATGAAAACTAACTCAGACAAATACATCAGTAATATGAGCATCATGACATCATTTGTCATTTTCAAAAACAAAAATTAAGATTAATAGTAAAACATTTCATCAATTAGTAATAAACAGTTAACTTAGTAAAAATTCAATTGAATTAGTGAAATAGAAGAAATTTTGATAGAACAGTGAGAAGACATAATTGATCTGAAAAATATTGTGATGTATTTGCGCTAAACATTTCGAACAATCTGGTTACACATATTTACTTGTCAAGGCATTTTATATGAAGATGAATAAAAGGTCAATTAAATAAAAGTTCAAATAGACATAGGGTGATAATTGTAAATAAAGGAGAGAGAAAATTAACGTAATATGAAAAGAATAAGAAGGGGTAGGAAAATTGTCACATTACCCTAGGCTTAAAGATTACCAAGGTAAATTCAAGGTTATGACAAATTGTTTCTGCACACATAAAGGGGTTTTTAATTTTCTAATAGCCAAGGCCTCCATAAATAGAAGAAAACTAACAATGTTCAAAGCAGTAACCAATACCTAGCATTTTAACTTAACAATTAATTAATTAATAAATAATATTAAAGATTATCATTGTGAAAATGAGAGCAACAGATATAAACGAATAATATTTTGTTTTCGATTAGATCATTCATCAGGCTTTACTCTAATATATAAGAATATTTATATGAAAGTGCTAAACCAATCAAGGCAATTTGAGGCAATAGTCATAAAGAAATAGATTATGTCACTACACATAATAGGTGGAAAAGTACAAGTTGATTGTAGAGGAATTGCCTCGATAGGTTTAACATTTTCATGCAAATATTCATGTATATTAGAGTCAAGCCTGATGACGTTCCAATTCGAAATAATCAATAATTTATAAATAGAGACGGTTGGTGATCGTATAGTGCCTCCACGTATATTCCAGTTCGCTTACATCTAATTCGGTTAAGCCCTTTCGATTAATTCATTTAACCAAGCCATTTATTTGTATTGCAACAATTTATATGTGCCATTCGTTCTTATTATTGTCTGGTTTGGATGATGAGCTCACATGACGTGTTCCACATGTCATTTGACCTTGTCAACTATTCGTCGCTTTTATTCATGTGTGTGCATGCCTATCTCGTTGATCACATGTCTGTCTCATATTTGTCTGACTATATATTCTTAGTCACGCTCTCTCTTGGAGTTGGCTCTTAGCCTTCTCCAACGCGCCCCACTTGTTCATTCGCTTCCTTAGCCCATTCACTCGCTTTGCAATCCTGGGAGTTGGCTAAACAGCCTTCTCCAATTCACGTCGCTTCTCTGCTTCGCTTTGTAGTGTGTCCCAAATGAACGTATTCATCATTTCGAGTTCTTCTGATTTATAAACCGTCAGACACTAGTTAGTGACGATTGTCTGGACGAGCTAATTACCGAGCTTAAGAACACATGCAGTAAAAAACGGCACACTACAATCGTATTCAACTGTCCAAATTTCTAGTCACAATAAAGAACGGGGTGCAAACGTGTAACTCGAGTGCGATAACAACCCTACTAAAAGTTATTATTACTGCAAGCAAGGAAAAAAAATCAAACCAAAAACTCTAATAGTTAATTTAATCCCATCCACCTGAAAGAAACTGACTGAATAAAATCTTAAGCAAATAAATAGTTATATTTATCTATAATTTACCTTAGAACACGTTGACATTGATGACATTTAAAACAGGTTTTATGATAAACTCGACCAATTGTTTGTAATGCTTCTAAAGGATAAACAACTTCTGCACAAGCATGACATCTTGGTTGTTCAATGGATTCTCTTGTCGGTAGCTAAGAATAAAACAATGCATTTATGTATGTATACATATATATAAATAAAATGAGGAATCAATAGTCAATAAACTGTTAAAGCTTTTTTAGAAAACAAACGAAATACAAAACAAACAGTAGAACTAAATATAAATAATTTTGGAAAAAATAAATGAAGCCCGAATAAAGGAGAATGAGCAATGCAAAATGGAATTATGCAATGTGTTATGCATGAAATAAGTGTGAGGGGGAAAAAACAAAAATCCATTTCACAGTTCTGTTGCTTCAAAGTCAGTCAGTCAGTCAATCGACTAGTGTGGGTTTTTTGTATCGACTACAATGCAAATAAATAACTACATGTACAGAGACGCATGCATTCACGAATTCGTTATCATTCCCATAGTCATAGTCTAGATAAGTTGGAAATGACTAGTTGAGCTGTTAGAGAAACAAATATAAACACATAAATAAATATACATGCATATATATATACCTTGTACGCGTCCTGTTAAACAACATAGGCTTAACTGAAACAAGAGTAAACGGCATTGACTAAGTCGATTGAATAATTACACACACACACACTTGACTATCGATAATTTAAACGAGTTAATTAACATAGGAAATAAGAAAAGATAAATAATATTTCACAGAAAATTAAAATCCAACTTAAAAATAGAAATTAAATTTAAATAATATTCAAACTATAGTGGTGCTTTATTTCTGCTTGATTACCAGCCTGGATGTATTCATGGAAATATCTTTGTCCATTTCCACTGAATCCTCCTGTATGATATTGATTGAAAATAGGTTTAAAAAGGAAAATTACTTGATGACATCAGATATAAATTAATATTATTATTGTTGATAAGTGTCATTTGTGATAGTTTATGTTGAAATTTGTTAACGATTAAAGTTTCTTTAAGTAGTGTATACATAGGAAGTGTAAATAATCAAGTAGGGGTTGTCATATGTGAATACTGATACTAAGAGTTTTAGTGGCCCAGAATCTAACTCCAATTTTGTACGAACAGTTGGATATGCTATGAAAAAATAAATCTTCCTCTTAATTCCTGCGTATCATACAATTAAGCTGACGCTGTTTGTGTGAGAGTGGCAATTGGAAGCTAAAACATGATTAATTTGGATGAGTTTATCATAGGCAATTGTTAAACACACACAGACATGAAGACAAAAAGTGAAATAGTAAAATGAAGCGAATTGAAGAAGGTCAGCTCAATGTGATAGGCGTAGTAAGCAATGTACTGAAAAAACAAGCAACCAAGGTTAAAAGCAAATAATTGACAAGGTCAAAAGACATGTGAATAATAAACCCGAGAAGGATAGAACAATTAGTTTGTCCAAAGACACGGGGACAAGCCATGTGAGCTCGACATATTAGTACACACCAAAATATTTATGAGATGGAATAAGTTATCAATTTCAATGTGCACCTATATAATCACTCATTGAAATAGCTGTTATTGAAGACACTTTGATCGTCGTAATTTAATTTTATGATGAATGATCGTAAAAAATACATATAATCCAACCAATACAACATAACGTATTCGGACATATTACGACGAAGGGAACTCTAGCAATTGTACGCAACATGTTAAGAATAAAACAAGATTAAGTAAAATCAAACAATCTTTTTAAACATTTGTATGAAGAATGGAATACTTTGTACAAAATACACTTGAATATAGACAGAGTAGATTCCTCAAAAATACCATTGATTTCTAACGCAATACTTTTAATGCTCAAACTTTTATTGATGATTAATTTAGGAATAAGGACAAAATATAACCATTGGCTTAACATTTACTTTCATACTGAACAGTACAATTAATTTAACCGATAACTCAATAAGTCTTCAAAATAACCTCAAGTACAGAATCGATGAATCGAAGGTGGTGGTTAACTGTAAACAATTCTATATAGATTTCATTCAAATTTTCTCACTACAATTAGGAACATTTAAAATTATTTAACTTAAAAGCAAATAACATCAATAAACAGTGTATTCCGACAAAGTACAAATGACAAAATCATATTCAAGTACCAGGTTAAGTGTAATCACACTTGTTGTGTGTATCTCAATCAATCAATCAATCAATCAACAGCAACGTAGAACTGAGTCATGTTGGTAGGTGTCAACTACCTGGTTGAGGCCCGCGAGATCATAGTTAGAGATCATGGTTAGAGACCTTGAATGACATGACTCAAAACCCTTTTGCAACCTTCAGAGTTTCTCATCACTAGATTCTACTTCCTGAATAACACATCCTCCGACACTAATCTCTCTGATTACTGCTAATACTTTTACTACCTCTACTGCTGTGGTGTTTGAATTTAAAATTGCATCTCTACGTTAATGTGATATGGCAACTTGAACCTATCTATCTTAGTAATAACTATAACATCGTTCAAACCGAACTAGATGAAATTCAGCGTTTCATTCTTTAAAACAATGGTCAATGGTTATTTAAACAATACAATCCACTTAATTTTATGTTGAAATGAAATTTCCAACAAAAGTTTATAACTATTTATAATTTTCTTCCATTTTTTATTATAATGAATAAATATTCTTTTTAATGACCCCCTCTCGCTTAATGTTACAAACTTATCAATATCATTGATAACATTCTGAAATTATGCTTGAAAAACGGAGCGTATTAGCATTAAGTGATTCAATAATGAATTTTATCTTCATTACATCAATTGATGTTCTTATAAGGTACTGTGCATAGATTCTGCAACTTCCTGCTGATCATCAACCTACCCACTCTGACAAATATTTTGTATTCCTCTCAATACATTTAGAGTGAGTTTCTATCCTCGACTGTCAGCAAAATCTGAATAATCTCATCAGTATTTTAGTCGACATCGAACCCACTACTAATCATAACCATTGATTATTCTAACTGCCAATTATTCATCTTTTGAAAGTGAAGTGAGTCAATCAAAGAGATTCACCGCTAAAGTGGTTAACGAGTTGGGCGATTCAACATTCATTTTACTCAAGTATAAGTTAATGCGAAAAAACCCAATAGAAAAAAAAATTAACAATTCAACAGCATTAATATTTAATACACGGATTATTTTTCACAGATACAAATCCCTGTACTGTTTTTTTATCAGACTAAGGTTACAACACATTTCTATTCAAAATAGGCAATTCAGATTGATTGTTAATCACACTAGTTAGACAAGATTATTTTGCAAGCAACAAATAAAGAATTAATAAGCTTTGTTTTAATTGATAGATAAAAAAAAGAAATTTTACATGATAAAAAGGGCGGTAGTACACTGACATTAATAGGCATAAATATTTCTGAGATGCAAGAAACAGTCTACGAAAGAGTGAATATACAGCTGACAGACAGACAGTAAGTCCTACAAAATCATAAATAATGAGTAATGTTTGTGAAGCAAAACTGATTTGCTTAAAAAGTAAATGTAACTTCTTAAATGAAACCTACTGAATGTCCCACCCCCCCTTGTAACATAACAATTACATATTATTCAAACATATAGATAACATATGTAAACACAAACAGAAGTACACTGAAACTACATTCAAAGTTGAATTTTTTCTAATACGAAAATCGTGAAATTAATTTTTTCATCTTATATCTAAACACATGATAAATAAAAACTTATTGTTCTTGATTTGTTCAAGTCACCTTCTGAGTAAGATCACTCTCTTTTGGATCAACTAGAGTTATCAAGACAATGATTGCATCCAGTAGTACATCAGAAATAAACAACTACAAATACACCATTGTACAGTCAAATCATACCAGAGTAGTTACTTGATAGTAACAATTAACAGTCTCTCAGCAGAATAATGTGAAGTTAATAATTGTAACAATATCTGGAACTTCAAACAACTTTCAACTAAAACCAAAATCAGGATTTTCAATACAAATGTCAAGACAGTTCTACTGTATGGAGCGGAAACATGGAGAACTACCAAAGCCATCATCCAGAAGATACAAGTGCTTATTAACAGCTGTCTACGCAAAATACTTCGTATTCGTTGGCCAGACACCATTAGCAACAACGAACTGTGGGAGAAAACAAACCAGATTGCAGTAGAGGAGGAAATCAGCAAGAAGCGGTGGAGTTGGTGGATAGGACACACACTAAGAAAAGCACCTAACTGCGTCACGAGGCAAGCCCTCACATGGAACCCTCAAGGCAAAAGGAAAAGAGGAAGGCCAAAGAACACACTACGCCGAGAAATAGAGAAAGATATGAGAGGATTGAACAAACATTGGACAGAACTGGAGAGGGAAACCCAGGACATAGTTGGTTGGAGAAAACTGGCGGGCGGCCTATGCTCCATTGGGGGTAACAGGCGTAAGTAAGTAAGTAATAATTGTAACGTATAATTCACTATTGGAAATACAGTTTATTAAACTTGAAAGATAACCACTTCAACATTTTCTATGATTATTATAAAATTAGTTTTGTAAAGTAGATTAGTTTACAACTGAAATTTATTCTCATTAATAATAGTTCATGGATGATTGAAATGTGACAAGACACAAGGACGTTAATAAAAAAATATACTGTAAACTATTTTCACATAATAAGGTTTTTAATTTTTTTTTTAAAAAAAAGCTGTTTTAAGGAAAACAGAATATATATTGATCAATGAATATCAACTAGAAAATTAAGTCTACAAAAGTACGGTGATTTTCTGCAGTTGCATTTCAATCAAATCTAATGTTTAAAATCTGACGAAAATGGTGGCTACCATAATAATAGAAGAAATAAGTCAAGATGAGAGAATGACAAACGCAATGGATGAAAATAGTATAAAATTATTATTGATGAGTATAAAGGCGTAGAAAATATAACCTACATTGTAGTGAATACATCAAATGTATTAGTAATCATTAAATGACATTTTACAAATTAACATTATTAACCTATGAAGAGTAGACTAATATTAACCTGTACTAAGAGTAAATCAATAACAATGGCACATTTTATTACCATTATTACTATCGCTAGCAAAGACTAGTATTTAGTGATCTAATAAAAAATATATGATATTTCTGTATCGTGATTACACCTACACTTGAAATACTGATTGGTTGATTTTTGGGTCACTGACACAAGAATAACATCGTAATGTTCAATTATAGGAATTTACTACTCCTAAATGCCCTGGTACGGCCGAAAAAGGGAAGAGTCCGCCCTTTCTCCAAATGCTCTCATATAGTCACTGCCAGGGTAGTTCTAATCATTACCTTTTCGTGACGACAGATTTGGAACACCTTGATTCCAAGTCATCAGATGAAATGGTCTTCAGGATCCCAATGGAGTAGATGGCGTAAGATTCTGTTATTGGTCACCAGCTACCATGGGACTGCATCGCTTCAAGTTCTTACACTACCTTGGGGATCGGTAATATGAAAGGTTTGGATGCCTTTTCATTCAACGGATTACAACACAGTGACTAAGTGGTAACCGAGTTACACCATCACTAGATCGGGTACTCGAACGGTACATCACACGGTGGCTAGATCACGTTGAATCGGACACACAATTCATACAGAACCAGAGCAAAGCAAGCAATATACGATAATTTGTCCAACACAATTACAAGCAGTTACATACAGTGAGTCAGGAGTATAAACCAATAAGAAGAAATGAAATCACGTGTTTAATAGCCAACAATCTGTGCCTGTCTGTCCACGCTCGATGACCAATCACATTTTCCTTTCATTATGGTATGTCAATTAGACTTTTTTTAGTCGAAAACTCGTGATGAAACACCCTGAGAAAACCGCCTACTTCAGTTTGAGCATTCGGGCAGTATTCGAACTCACTCATAAATTCAATGATTTGTACTGCACATTAATAAGCAGGTGTCCTTTTGTGTACCAATGTTTGTGTTTAAATAAAATAAATAATCTACAATTCAGGGACTTGATCAGATTCAGTCATAAATGATAATATTTTTGATGTTTTATATAATCTCGTTGGCTAGTAAGAGTTACATCGTAATTTAATGAAAAAAAATATATTAGGACAAATACAATTCGTTTGTTTGATAATATAATCCAGTGAAATAAATCAATTGAAAAAAATGAATTAATTAATTAATTTGCAATCATTCATAAATACTAAAAATTACTAGCCTAATTTTTTTGATAAACTTATAAATTTACACATTAATTTTAATGACTGTAATTAAATAAATTAGGCCCGCTGAACTAAACAAAATGAATACCATAAATAGTACAATCGAGAAAGCATGTTATATTTAGTAAGCAGTCAATGATTTAGCGAAAATGGTTAGCTGTGAATTATTAAGTAAAATACTAGTTAAAAAACACGTTAATATTGCGTTAGTCATTAAACATTGACTGTGCTATATAGATCTTAGGAAAAAACTAATTCCGATCCAGTTATATTAAAGTTGTAGTTCAATATAAAAGTGTTAGACGACTGTTCGTTAGCAATGTGAAAATAGCATTGTTTGAAGGTGGTGTAACAATTCAATTTAATTTGAGCATGAATAGGTTATTATAGAAAATGAGATTTACGTCAAACTATTGCATGCCCCACACATCGATTGAACTTACTACCAAAGATGGACAAGTACGCCATCTTGTATGTTCCTCTAAATTATTATCAGAGGTAACATATATTTTATCCAAACTTTCAGAATCATAATAATTTTGTATTGGGTCAGATCGATGTTTTAAATTCTCTACATTTATATGTTGTTGTGGTTGAGTAGCGGCGAATCGTTCTAATGGTGTAGTTCGTAGACGAGTATCACGAAGTAATTGATGATTTGTTTCATTGTTCATATCTTCAATTTCGACATCATTATAATAATTACAACCAATTGCTAACTAGGAAATTGAATTTAAGGACAAATCAAATGATAATCAATCACTACTATACCAAAAAAATAACTAATGAGTACTCAAAATATCTTTTTTCATCAATAGTCATAGTGTTGAACCGGAAATGTTTACAGCTTGTAGAATGCAAATTTTTGGATGATCTCTAAATTGACCTTGGGAATCTATTATCATGTATTCATTATAGAGTTATGGGGAGTAATGAATCAATCATTGTTAGATCACCATCAGAAACTTTGATGGATGCGCACTGATGAAGAGTCCCAAACTAGGACGAAACGGATGTCCATTGCTTTTAGGTTTCTAATGATGGTCTAATAATAATTAGTTCATGATTATTATCATTGATTAGGACGATGAATAAAGATCACGAGTTAAGATTTTCATAACGGACAGCCATTGTACAGCACTGGTGTGTTGTCAGTCAGTTACAACGTAGAACATCGTACATAAGTTCAGGTTGCCATACTCCATCAGCACAGAGAAGCAACTGTCAGTTCAAATCCCATAGTGGTACAGGTAGTAGAAGAATTAGCTGTAATGCAGATGGTTAGGGTTCGAAGATATGACTAGGTAAGTATAATTGAGTGAGATAACTGTAGAAAGAGAAAAATTGAGGTGATGAGGAATTTAGAAGTTTAGAATTTGAGAGAACAATGAATGAATGAATGCAGCTGCGTAATTGAAAACGGATTTGAGCCATGTGATTCAAGGTTTCTAACCATCGATCTCTATCATCTCGCTGGCCCCAACCAGGTAGTCGACACCTACCGACACGACTTAGTACACTTGTCAGTGACGTCATGGAATTCTGCCATGTTTTGGTCTGGCCGCCCCTAGCTTTCTTCCAACCTATTCCTACATTGCGAAACATAGCTCGAAGAGGTAGTCGATGATTGGACATACGTAACGTAACACATGTCTCAACCAACTCAAATGATGAAGTTTCAATGCTTCATCTATTGATCTACCATCCTTACCTAGTACTCGTTTCCTAACGACAGCATTGCTTACTCGGTTGTCCCACGATATACGAGCAATGCTTCTAAGATATCTATGATCGAAAACCAGTAACCTACGAACATCTACTCTTAACGGCCATATCTCGCATCCAAAGCAAATCGACTTTTCTGTATCCGCACTGAGATTTCGTCAGTCACCAGGCTATCAGCACTGATGAGACTCTTGGGATAAGTGAAGCGCTCTTATCTCGGCGTGTAGTTCTACATAGATGAATGAACTTAGCACAGAATCCCAAGAAATGCTATCTAAAATCTGATTTTTTATGTCCATTACATTTTCGCCCTAAAACTGTCTTTTACTTACTGACATATCTGAAACTAGTAAATCTTTAAAAGAGATAATATCTCTTTATATATGTAACTCAATATCCATAAACATATAATCGTTGGTAATAAAATATCTTTACTAGTAAACTAGCAAAGTAAAATTAAATAAGTAGTATGGAACTACCAATGATTATTGATTAGTTAGCTAAACTTGTAGATTAACATGTCACAACAACAATATCACAAGATAAGCAAAATATACTCAAATGTTTTTTTGTTTTTTTCAAATTGAACTCAATATTAAGTAATAATTAAAATCAACTGTAGATAGCAATGAACAACTACTACTATGAGGCAAGTTTAGTTGATGATTGATGGTTTAATAGTACCAGTGAAATATTGTTGTATTGTTGTAGAATAGATAAAATGAAACAGTGCATACAACTGTTACAACAAAATCATAGTCGAAAGCAAATGTGTACAACAATTCTTCCACACACAAAAAAAATACATCCACACACACACAATTTATCTATATTTTATTGAATCATTTTATTAGCTAACAAACTAATTAATTAATTAATTAATTAATTAACCCTAATTTGAACCAACAGAACTGTAATCATGTTCAACTCGGTTTATTATCAATATATACATGTATGGATACAGTTAATAAATATGTAACGAGACCAGCAGGACTAACAGTCAAAATGATAAAGGATGAATTTATAGTAATACTAACAAAATTATTGACAATTTAATAGCAGTTCTAACAATCATAGTAATCATATTTTTTTTTTGTAGAATTCATTATGAAGTAAACTGGCGGCGGCTACGCCGACAGTATTTCATATTGTTTGATCATCATTTCGTCATGAAAGACAAAGAAACAACTATAGAAACGCTTATTTATTAATAGGTTTGCGGAAAAAAG